TCCAAGTAATGTTGGACAATATTTAAGGCGAACCCCCCCCCCCTGAACAGTGGAACCAGTCAGCTGGAGGGGTTTGGCACTCCGATTCCCAGTACTTACTTTAGTATTGCCAATTCTGCTTTAGTGTTACCAAGGACCGAATTTCAGCAACCCCCAAAACCAGTTGGACACTAAAGAGGACCCCAAACCAGTCAGACTAAAGAGGATCAGGGGCTCTTGTGGGCACCCCCCCTTTGTGTGACTTTTTGCCCGCACTTTTGTGTAAAGAAGTTATCTTGAATGTGATGGTTTGGGGACCACTTCAAGAAAATGATTTCCCATTGCCAAGATTTGTTTGCCTGTTTGTCTGCCCGACTTGTTTGCCAAGTTGTTTGCCCATAGTTTGTCCAGCGTTGTTTCCGGCAAAACTACTGTCCATAGTAGAGGACCCCCTAAAACAATCACAAGATCCTGAAAAAAACAAGTTTGTACGAGTAAAGGAAGTCTAACGTTACTCTCTTCACCCTACGCTTTTGTTTAGCCTTTTGCGACTCTTGAATCAATTATTATATCCGGGAGTGACCAGCTTTCCTTTTGTTTTAGCCTTTTGTCTCCTTTTGCGCAGCAATACGGCTGTTTCATACAATGGCCACCATGACCTTTGGGCGGCAAACACACCCAGTGGACCGCAGCCGCAAGGAGCATGTGCAGATATCATTGGGGTTAAGAACAGGGATCTCGCCAATCTTAAAGCAAAACCAAAAGGCACACACGATTCATGCATCTTTGGTGTTGATGAGAAGCCGCTCGCTGCGTTATTTGACGATTGCTTCTGTTTCGCGTACACTGTGGTTGGGGTTCGAACCAGTTCTTCGACTGTCAGTATGTGTCAACGAGCGGGGACCCCTGATTTTTTTGTTTTCCTTCCTTTTGGTTTCCCTTTTTTCAACAAACACTAAGAAACCAGCTAGAGGAACTGCTACTGGAAATCCTTGTTCTTGTTGGGCGATATTTGGCAATAATTTTGAAGTTCATGTAGCTGGTTTCTATGAAACAGGAACCCATGTGCTGCGCTGAGGTATGGGGAAGGAATCCCAGGGCTCAACTTGGCGGCGGCTTTGCGGCAGCTTCGCCGGTCCCTGCTGTATCTCCTGGATACGTGCGCGTGATGTGCAGAGCAGGCGCCCAAATTTTGGGCGGCTTATGGCCCCCCCCCCCCCCGCCCTGGGAAGAATCGAGCAGGTCTTGGTTTTTTGGATGTTCAGTTATTTGTGTTTGTTGTGGTTGTGTCTTTTAGTTGTTTGTGTTGCCAGTGCTACAGTAGGTCGCAATGTGTGCGGATTGCTGTTTCTGGCATAGTCAATATTTCAGTGTTGCTATGTGTTGCTGGGGTGTGAGCAGGCGAAAAGTCAAGTTATTGTGGTGACGTCAGCTCTGAATTGAACCAAGGTGTTCATGCATGTACCGTGTGTTTCTTTAGCTCATGTAGGGGCAAACCTTACGGGCATAGAAAAAAACACCTGCGTGTTGAAGGAGGTTGACTGTACAATTAATGGTTTGTTGCCACCTGGATGGCCCATCACCCGACCCAAAGCCCGGGGCCAAGTTGATGTGCCAACCACCGAGCAAATGTGGCAAGCATTGATAAGACTTGGCTGGTGGGACCTATTGCCGCTCTAGGCAAAGTCATATATTTGGAGTTGCTTTTGATGAGAGCCACTTCAAGCCTTTTGAATGCAGAAGTGTTGGAACCTTCAGACTCTTACCTTTTGATGGAAGTCAATCCAGACTGACTGGCATTCCAGCATGTTGAGCCTTCGTTTTTGCTGTCACACCACGACACAGCCTGCATCACCTGCGACGTTGTCAACGTGATGTCGACTTGTTCGACAACTTGCTTCACGGACGCTGAGCGAACCGCACTACACGTGACGGGTCCTACGGGTTGGATCCTGTGAGGTACGGGACTGTTCCAGCCTCGGTGCTTGGGGGCAACTTCCAGGCGCGAGATGGACATGTGCTTTCGACCGTCCGTTTGCACGGGATAGCAAGAGCGGACTATCGGCTGTTTTACGGTTGTAAGACCGAGGTGCTCTTTACACCACGCCATAAGAGGGATCCTCTACGGTCCCAGATAGCTTGTGAGGATTTATTGCTGCGGCCGCCCTGTGCAAATCCTCGCATTTGTACTATCATTTTTGTGAGATCAAAGCAGCTTCTGGGGGGCATGGCCTAGTGGCCTCCCTGAATAAGGCGGAAGGTTGCTTAGGCTCACATTCTGCGAGCATCAAGCGCTCGCTCAGTCTAGAAACATGTGTGAGACTCGGGAGAATTGCGGTCCAAGCAGCTTGCTTGGCGAAATGGTCTGGTCGGTTCTTTCTTGGCCAGGCCTGGCAGCAAAACGAGCACAAGGCAGCCTTTCCTGGCGGTTCTGACACAGGCTGGTCTTGACGGACGTGATCAAGCGTGCAAGCTGAAGTTACGAGGCCTGTTGAAAGGCCTTCTGCCGCTTGAGGATAGAATGACAGCAGTCCGCCTTGTCAGTTGAGCATTCGGGCTCATTAGCCCAGGTTGGCACAACTCAGAGTTTCTGTTGATAACCAGACAGGACACTGACCTAACGACTAATCACTGTGCAGATGGATGCACCAACACATTGAGCTCGAGGCCTGCTGCAGAAAATGCCCATCATCAAGCACCCGGACATTCAAACACTCTCAGTTTTGCGAAACCGACGGGCTTTCGACATCCCTTTTAAGTGGAGATCCATTGAATTGAGCTGGGCTAGACGCTCGCCGTGCCGAAACCTCAGGCATCGGCTGGACCTACTACCGCTACCCCCACCTTGCCGCCTCCGCTTGGACGGGCCTCGCCTTGCTGCAGAAGCCCCGGGAAGGTGCCCTCGCGCCTCGGAGGTTTCCATGTACCCCACTGGGTACCCCACTGGGTACATGGCCTTGCCTTCTGCCTTTTGCCTTTTGCCCAATTGAACCTAAAGGAAGGGGTTCCCAAAACAGACAAACACAGCAACACAGCAACACAGAGACACAACTTAACCAGAATGGGCTAAATGATTAGAATAGGGTTGGGTACTTCTCCAAGTTTCCTTGACATTGCGAGTAAACTTATTTAGGCAATAGTTTAGCCCCTTGCAATCAATGTGCAGGTCCCCTTGTCCGTCCTGTGCCAGCCAGCTGTGCGAGCCAAGTCCCCACCTGAGGGTTTCGTGGGTTGCTCCTTCCCGAGCAAAGCTCTGGAATCTTTGCGTGCACCACCCGGACAGGGCACGCAACTGGCATTCTGTTGCATTCTGTTGGCCCAGGTTACTAGTGCAGGCCGGCCAGTTTTGGTTTGCCACACGTGGATATTGACGGGCCAATGTACGCAGAATCAGCAGGAGGCTTTTTGTTGTGAACAGGCGGCAACAGACTGGCAATTAAGCGCGGGCAAAGCCTTAGACCCATGGAGCAGAGGCCTGTCATTGCTCGAGTTGCCCGCAATAAGTGCAGGATGTGCACCGCTTGGTGTTTGTCCGAATCTGGGCCATGATTGGGATGATGTTTTCCCCTCGGTCCAGCATTCAAGGAGGCCCTTGCTAGGGACCATGCATACAACCTCCCACACGCTTGACCAGTGTGAGTGGCGCGTCCATGAGGTCAACGAGCACGCGAATCCCTATGGCATGCCGTCCAAGCCCCTACCAGAGGCCATTTGCGCGACCACTCTAGAAGGACAAGATGGCCCAAGCTAACCCTGGATGGCGCAAACATATTGTGCTTTACCGTGAGTGCCGGCACCAAGATCTACAATGGGCAGAGTCAAGGAGTCAAACCGAAGTATTTTTGGGCCACTTCATAATTGGAATTCGAACATGTTGTTTTTTGGAGTTCCACACAGCAAATGTCTTTGTGTGCATCGATAATGGTGAGTCAGCTTGCGCTTTTGTCACTCGAGCGTACCATGTTTGTTGATTTCGGACGATAGTGTTACAAGCCAGAGTTCCGAGCCTTGTTTCAAAATCAGAATAAGGTGAAGGATCAAAGGTTGTGACACTGCCCATCCTCAAGCTGCCAAGTTGCCTTCGTCAGGTGGGGCATGATCTCCAGTGCCTGCGCTGAGGGATGCAGGTGGATGAGTGGGATCTCTAGGCTGTACAGCCAACACCTACCGGTCACTCCATGAGACCACCGGAACCAATTTTCGAGCGCGTGCAGTCTTATTTCTTTAATTGGCATCGATTGCTTTCTATGCGTGGTCAACTTGAACTGGGGACTGTTGTACGGCTAATGATCAATGAGAATTATGTTCAACATGTGAAAAGTCTTACCCTAGTGTTGCACTTTTGCTACGAGGTGCGGCTGACTGCCCGACAACGGGACAAGTCATGCTGAAAGAAATGGCAATTGCCTGCGACTACTGGCTCAATGGCTCGCATTGAGCCATACCGGCCACTTGGCCGACCGGCCCTTTGTAAGCCATTCCCGCCACTCAAGCCAACATGGCTTGGCTCGCCGGAGTGAAACACATGCGGCTCAAGACATGTGGGGTTGCGAGGGCAGCTCAACGGGACGGCGATGTTCCATTGCATCATCCTAGGTGATCTCAGCAGTGTAACCGAGCTAAAGGAGGCATCCTTGGACACAGAAGTAATCTGGACATGTGCAGCAGTTTGAGTTGTGTGCCACTACATGCCATGCTAGGTGCTCCGTTGTTATATCATCAGAGTGATGTCGGCACCCATGCTTGCGCTTGCCGTGTTAGCTTCTTGCTTTCTAAGTGGGAAATGTGTAGTCTGTTCTGATCAGGCTCAACTTCACTTTGCAAGTTCTTGAGCATGCGACACACATTATGTGCAGCAATGTGCCATTGCCTGAAAAGTCTTGGTTTAGTCTGCGATGCTGTGGGGTGGATTCAAGCAAACAAACTTGAGGTCGTTGAGAGCCCAGCTTTCAAGGTATAGGTGAGCCTTCTTCGGATGTTTTACGTTGGCCTTTGCATGTGCACCAAGTGTTGCGCCCTAGGCGCCTACGTGGTGGGTGCAGATCCGCTGTCGGACATTGCCGTCTTGCAAGTGAGGGGCGAGGAAAGCGTGGCGCCGGCATGTGATGCGACTCCCCACCCTTCTGGTGCCAAAACAAAGCAGGACCGGTTTCAAGCTCAAGTTTCATCAACAAACCTAATTCTACATCCCATTCGTGGTTTGGGAGTCAACAAATGGCTTAGACTGGGTTCGCATTCTAGATAAACCATGTCATCGTCAGGATACTTACTGGACAACTTGAAACTGCACTGACTTGCGAACAACTGCCATGCATGTTGATGTTTCTCGGTATCTAAGTGGGACAGACTTGCTGCATTGATAGATGCAATAATGAGCCACGTTGCTGCCCACTTATGCTGATGATGCAGGACAAACAATGTCTGGAACCCAAGTGGAAGCAGGAAGCAACAAGGAAAGCACGCAGGGATTTATGGTGTGCCACACTCCACCTTGACCTTATCTGTACTTAGCAAAATTATGGTATACTTACATTGAACCAAGATGCAAGCAGCCTTTGGCCTGTGCTTTGTTCAGATCTTGATCTCTATTGATGCTGTCTGGCCTGCAGCTTTGCTGCCAAGCTAGACATTGACTTGGAGGATGTCAATGTTCTTTGTGTAGTCCGACTTATTGGTTGAAGGCACTTGCGACGGTATCAAAACATAAGTAATTGCAGGTTAGCAGATGTTAGTTCCCAACCAAGAACAGAGGCGTCATGTGCAAGATGTCTTGTTGAGCCGATTTAGATTCTTTTGTGGCATATTTTGATTATCGAACATGAGCCGCTGCATTGTCCTTGAGGACACGCTTTGGGCTCTTTTGTTGGATGGTTGTGCTGGGTCTCTCACTGTTCGGCTTTGCTGGTCATTTGGACTGGGGTTCCGACGTAGAGGATTGGAACGTTCTGAAGCATGTTCCATGATGCCGCGCCACATTAGCCATTGCCTGTTTTCTCGAATGGGACATCTTCCTTCGGTGTCAGGCAGTCCAACACTCGCGTGTCGATCCGATGCGTCAGCGGCCAGATGTCCGAGCTGATGCGGCCCTTGGATCGCGGCACCTCCACGCAGCTGAAACCCGGCCAGGAGGCGACGGCCACATTGGATTCTTGCGGTTCCTGGTGAACCTTCTTGGACCTTTGGTTGTTTTGGCAACGGGGATTTCCAAGGGTCAGAGAAGAGACTTTGTCCCCCAGACGCATTTCCCCTGTTGCAAATGGGGGGGTTCAGAAGTTCAACACGGAAACCTTGAGACTTGTCGCGCGAGCGGAATGTCCCATTTAGGTAATCAAGGCACCACCTGTTTTGACCCCTGTGGACTCTGCGATCTCGGCATGTACCAGGCACGATCGCAGGTTCATTGCGCAAATGCTAAGATGCTGCTTGTGATTGTGTGGAGGCCGTTCGGTCAGCTTTGAAGTGCCGTCTACATCCAATTTTAATGGATACAATGTGTTCGTGGGAACCTGGTAACTAATAGCTCGTGTGAGATGATACATAGACACTGATGAAGCGTATTATTTGTTCAGACAATTCTACAGAATGAGCATATACTTCGCGTAGCAAAGATGGCTTGGAGGCTTGCATGATTGCAGGCAGTGGCTATTTCTGTTGAATTGATGGCTTCGGAGCGATTCCTGTTTGGCTTTCAAGGGCCTGCTTTGCCCCTGCCCTGACCAGAGTGCTGAGCCAGGTGTAGCCGAAATGGCGTTGGAAGATGTGATGCTTTGATTTGTGACCGTAATTACTGTGTCCGCAAATTATCATTGGGTTAGCTGTGCCAACCATTTGAAACTAGCAGCGCTTTCCCACTGACTAGCGGCTTCCGGCTGCCCTGTCATGGCATATGAACAAGCCTGAAAGTTCAATTTTGCTCCGACTCCCACTCTTTCGTCGACTCCACATGTTCAAATATCGATCGATCACATTTGTTGTTTGGCCTTCCCCTTTGGGATTTCCAAAAGAAAACTCAGCTTCCCTCTAAATTTATTTTGTGGTTTGGTGGTTAAGGAGGGGTTTCAAATCCGAAACCAATCAATCAGAGGGAAGCTGAAAAGGAGTCCAGAAAGAATGAGGGAAGCTGAAAAAATGGAAAAGAGTCCAGAAAGCCGCGGCAGGTCTTCGCCTTGGGGAACCCTTTCGGCCTGGAGCACTCCATGAGCCTCGGGCCCAGCACGGAAGCAGCGCTGGATTCGTTGATTGGCGAATCGAATCCCGATCGCTTGACAGGACAAGTGTGCGCATCCTGGAATCCATTTAGAACCCATGTGTTAGAAACCATGAGATAGACGCCATTTGGTAGAACGATTTAGGGTCACCCAACTTGTTCTGTTCGTGCCACACATTCGAAGCCCACAAGTGGTCAGTTCAGCTTTTGCAAGCTAGCCACCGGGTCGGCAATCCCATTAAGCAGTCTTGCAAATAGCGGCTGAATTATCATTGTTTCACTTTGCAACTGGCCACTGTGACCCAAATTTCTAACAAGGCTTCTTGTCCAGGACCTACCAGACTTCCTGTTTCAAGGGTTGTCAAAGTCAGAAGTGTTTCCCTTCATATTTGGGATGGGAAGGGCCACTTTGCAATGTGAAATCTTTGCAGGACAAGTCTGGTTTCACTTCAGGCAACATTGGGTGTTGGGTTTCCCTTGGGACGCCGCCGTTGGGCCTAGGTCCTGTCCAGGCTCCGACTGCAAATGTAATCGACTGCTTTGCCTTGGCATGACTTTCACTAGCTTGATCGGTTTTGACATCAATAGGATCGGATGTTGCAAGCATGAGGAAACAATGCTTCACACAGGAGTTGCGATAGCTCAGGGTAGCCTTGCCGCACAAGGCGGCATATTATGTGATTGCTGCGTATTAGTATGCTGCATGGCAAAGTGCTTGTGGAAGCAGACCAATTGCGGAAGTGTGGTGGCGGGAGTGAAGCAACAATGAGATCCCGTGGTGGAAACTGCCTTGGTAGAGGGGCGCGGTATTGCTTCAGGGGGAATAGCGCACAGTACTAATCAATATGATTATTGTCATATTATATGATATACATATTTAGACATGTTTAATTGTATTCGCTACCCATACATTGGAAAGGGGCAAGTTACACACGTGACTGACTGACGACAAAGTTGTTGTTTTCAGCTGATCAATTCAGGCTTGTCAGTTGGCAACTTCAAGCTGTTGTGGGGTGTGGCAGGATGCTTCGTTGAACTTCTTCGATAAATGCCAACTCTAAGTCGGCCGTTTTTGGTAAGCAGAACTGGCGATGAGGGATGAACCTAACGTTGGGCTAAGGTTCTTAATCAGATACCACAAAGGGTGTTGGTTCATTTTGACAGCAGGACGGTGGTCATGGAAGTCGAAACCCGCTAAGGAGTGTGTAACGACTCATCTGCCGCATGGACTAGCCCCGAAACTGGATGGCGCTCAAGCCCCAACCACTGACGCAAGCACTTCGTCAGTGAGTAGGAGGGCGTAGGGGTTGGAGGAAGCTTCCAGGTAGAATCCCCCGCGGGTGCCTTCTGTTTGGAGGGAGGGATTTCTCTGCGAAGCAGGCTTCCATTTGCTGAAATGAATATTTGTCATTTTCCCCTGTTGGTTTTTAAGGGAATCAATTTCACTACTGTGAGCTGTTTGTTTATTATTATTATGTTTTTTCAACCTGTGATATCTTGGGAGTCGAAGGCCCAAGTTGACGTTTTGCGTCATGTATACGACGCGGAATCTGCGGGGCTTGAGGCAAGGGCGTCATCAGCGGCCTGGCGCGTAGCATGGAGGAGGGGCAAGAGGGTATGTGTAAATGTAGGGAATGTAGGCTTGGTCTCGGCAAAGTATGGCTCAGTTAACCCCTTAATTGGTGGTTTGGATTTGCGGTTTGGGGATTTGAACCCGTGGTTCTTGCAGAGGGTAAATGGGAAACCACCCCGAAACCTCCAACCAACCATCCAAACCACAGATTGAATCCGCCAAGTAGAGGGAATCCGAATAGAGACATGACTTGGCCGAGGAGAGACGATGTTACCGTGCAGTTGCCGAAAGCAACTGCTCTTTTGTTCGCAGTGTTTCCAGAAAATTTGTGTGCAACCACTCCCTGTCATGGGATTATTGGAATACAGGCACCAACACACGCACAAACGCGGATACAAGCACAAGAGCCAGCAATCACACACACACACACACACAAACACACAGACACGAAACACGCAACGAGCAGCACAAGCACGGCCACATATACACACACACACATACACATACACTTACAAACACACACAAACAAGCTCACACACACATAAGCACAAACACAAGCTCACACAAACAACACGGAACCACAAGCACAAACATACACACACACATACAAACACACACACACACAGACACACAGACACACAGACACACAGACACACAGACACACAGACACACAGACACACAGACACACAGACACACAGACACACAGACACACAGACACACAGACACACAGACACACAGACACACAGACACACAGACACACAGACACACAGACACACAGACACACAGACCCACAGACCCACAGACCCACAGACCCACAGACCCACAGACCCACAGACCCACACCCACACCCACACCCACACCCACACCCACACCCACACCCACACCCACACCCCCACCCACCCACCCACCCACCCACCCACGCACGCACGCACGCACGCACGCACGCACGTACGCTGACACACACACAGACACGCAAATACACAGACAAATGTTGACTGACTCACGGACACACATGTGCTTGCGGCACGCACTCGCACGCCTGCAGGACAGCGCGACGCAAATGCACCTGCTTGCATGCACGCACGCACGCACACACGCACACACACACACAGACACAGACACAGACACACACACACACACCACCCACCCACCCACCCACCCACCCACCCACCCACCCACCCACCCACGCACGCACGCACGCACGCACGCACGCACGCACCCGCACCCGCACCCGCACCCGCACCCGCACCCGCACCCGCACCCGCACCCGCACCCGCACCCGCACCCGCACCCGCACCCGCACCCGCACCCGCACCCGCACCCGCACCCGCACCTGCACACCCACCCGCACCCGCACCCGCACCCGCACCCGCACCCGCACCCGCACCCGCACCCACACCCCACACCCCACCCCACACCCCACACCCCACCCACCCCCACCCACACCCCACCCCCACCCCACCCCACCACCCCACCCCACCCACCCACCCACCCACCCACCCACCCACCCACCCACCCACCCACCCACCCACCCACCCACCCACCCACCCACCCACCCACCCACCCACCCACCCACCCACCCACCCACCCACCCACCCACCCACCCACCCACCCACCCACCCACCCACCTATTCACCCACGCACGCACGCACGCACGCACGCACGCACGCACGCAAACATGCACAAAGTGCCATTAGAGGCAGGTCGCAAGCAAACTTAGACTTGGTTTGCCAATTCAGTTTTGACATTGGAACAACTCGTCATCAACAATACAACTTATGCGTTGAATTATCGTGATTTGCGAATCATGCCTCGGCAATTTGCAACTTGAGCGCCCGAGTGATGATAAGACTTAGCATTGCAGATGCTATTGATTGACGCATGTGCCATAATCGCCGCGAGAAGCGTATTGTTTTGCATTGGCACCAACTTAGCTCGTCCACCACACAAGTATTTGCTTGATTTGGACTAGTTGATCACAGCAATGAGGCTAGGTTTGGGCAGCTGCTTCAAGATGATGCAGAATCATCATCTGACTGGGCTTGATGGAAATTACATACTCGCAGCAGTAGGCATTCAGTTACACTGTTATTCCTTCACATCATTCCAATTGAGAATTCCTTTATCCTTCAAGAGGGGGGCGCATGCGTGTGCGTATGTGTGTGTGGGCATTAATCCTTGCCGGCAAAATATTTTCTAGGTACCTTCTAACCTCCAATGCCGCTTTGCCAGGGCACAGCCGGATGGCCCGTGAGCGGCGGCTTGGCTATCGCATACGGCCCCTCATGACATTCGCACAACTTGGTATGGGAAGTCTAGGCATGTTTGCCCCATTTGCTGATGGGCAAGATTTGTCTCTACCAGTCTCGTAAGCGGAGAGCAGGTCATGCGTCGTTGAGTCAATCTCATTTTGCCAAGCTTACCTTGTGCAGATAACTCGCATGTTTCGAGAAAACACAAGCAGCAATTGGCATTGGACTCAATTTGAGGGGGACAAGAACATCTTGCCTGCAGAGCATCCTGAGCAAGCGTGGCGATTGCGTCTATTCACGTCGGCCAGTTCCTTTCTTCTCCATTTAACATGTGTCATACTCAAAGCAAGGCTCAATTCAATCACTGTACTCAGCACCTCCCTTTCCCCTATCGAAATCATGGAGCCTCTCCGGTTCGCCTTCGCCTTCGGCTGTGCCTCCGGACACATCAACCCCTCGTTGGCAGTGACGCGACGCTTGGTACAGCAGGGCCATGAGGCCGCTGAAGCTGTTCAGTTCGTGAGCAAACCAAAGGTTTCGTCACCTGCCACAATTGCAAAACTGGTTGACCAGAGATTGGAGCTTGGGAGTAAGGGGAATTCTTCATAGGCTTTCTTGAATACATGATCTAGTGGCATTCAGTGGCCATACACCAGTCTCGCAGACTGTGATGTGCATGTGAGGCATGGCTGGATTGTACATCTGAAGGGTCTCGGTTTGAGGCAAGAAACCCGCCTGGAACCTCATCCTGCTGGGATTGCTCCGTTTGTCTTTACATTGGGGAAGATGTCGAGTAAGAAGTAAGCGAAGCGCCACGTTGCCACTGGCAGCTATGTTGGGAAGTTTGGCTCGGGCAGGTGCACTACCTCTCGCGGGAGCAGATGAGGTCGGCCATTGAGGACACCGGGGCCAAGTTTTGGAATGAGCTGGAGGTCGAATCAGAGCTCTACGAGAATCGGGAGGAGGATCTGATGGGAGTGGCTGGGACTGGCTTGGATTCATTAAATCATGTGTTTCATCATAAGTTGTGACACAGGCATAAATCATTTGTATATTGTGTGTAATGTCAACAAATAAACACATCATATAATATGTCAGTTTGCTTGCTTGTGTCTTGTCCTGTTTTCTCGAGGCAGTCTTGCCCATGTTTTTTTTCTTCTTCTTTTTTCTGGGTGGTGGCTTGTATCCAGGGTCTATGCCGCACTACATGTTTAACCTTGCAGTGCAACGGGGATCATTCGGATTGGATGCCCACAGAATGAATGACAGAACCAGATCACTATTTTGCCCCGTGGAATCTAGGAAGGTTCTTTTCAGGACCGTGCTATTGGCACGTCGCACCCTCTAAGGCCACGAGCGCTCTCAAGAAGGAGCAGGGCTTGGAGAATGAGTCCATGCTGGCCACGCAGCAGCATCAAACTAATGGGCCAACGGGGGGAAAACAAGGACTGATTTGATGTTTCGAATTTGTCTCAGCCAATGACTGTCGGGTCTTGTCCTCGCTCGCAATTGACTGCTTTGATTTGGAGGCTACTCCTTTCGGACTTGGGTGTTTAGTTTCCATTAGGGCTTTGGTGTCAAAGGTTTGCTTTGGGGTGTGGTTACGTGAGTTTTGGGCTACAGCAAACCCAATGCCACTGCTAAACCAGCAGCACACCTAAGACAAATCTTCTCCAAGTGAACTCCAAATCCACCTAAAGTCAGCCCTAAATCCGCCCAACAGCAGCCTGGATGTCAGTCCTTCGCTGAGCCTAAATACGCCCCAAACCAACCCAAGACCCGCCGTAAGATCTAAGCCAGCTTAAAATCATCCGTAGTTAAACCAGCCCAGAGCAACTCCCAACTGTCATCGAATCAGAGCCAACAGGCAACCCTAGGCCGGAAACACCAGCCCGAGGCAAAAACAAACACCTCTACCTTCTTCCTTAACACCTAATGTTTTAGGCTCCGTAATCCATTGAGCTTCCTCTTCAAACCAAAGCAGCAACGCGGCATATATAATATTATATATATATATGTATTTAATATACTATATGTACAACATGTATGCATATACTTGATCGCCTGTGTTGATGACACGTTTCATCCTGCAGGGTCTTCTTCCAATGAGAAATGACCCGTCCCACCTCCTCAGTAGCTACCTGTCCTACCCGCTTTTTGGGGCGGGTTCTTGGCTGAAATCGACCACAAAAGATGTCCCTTGTTCAGTGATCCCATGGCATCGAATAAGGTAGGCACGACCACATGTCTGATGAGCATTTTTGATTGTACTGAATGTTGCGGCTTTGTGAATTGAATGCAAGCATGTTTTGCAAGTGGAAATCAATGGCTCGCAGCAAAGGGTGATTTCATTTAGCGTGTGGGCAAGAGCCGTATGTCTCCCACTCACTTGAAATCTCACTCCCTCACCTTTTTAAAACCTCGCATCCTGCATTTTGTGAGGGTCCAACACCACAGGCTAGTCGCTCATACTAGTGCTACCCTGATGGACTCTTTGCTTGAGTGCTGATTTGGTCACTGTTTCTATATGAGAGCGAAAGAGAGAGACTGGCAATGCACTGGATTACTCTCGATGGCCATATGTTTTAGCTTTCTCCCCCTTTACGAAGCACGAAGTCCCTCCACAAGTTCAATCCTTTCTTGTGATCCACTTGGGTGTGTCAATCCTGCAAGGTACCCTTTTCAGTTTGGTTGACAGGAAAATCCAAAAGGAAACCAATCTCTTTCCTTTTTTTTGCGGGGGGGGCTGACTTGTGGGCTGATCTTGGCCCAAGGCGGGGTTCATGAAGCTGTCCTGCTACTCTTTGGAGCTGCAGCTTCCCGGGTGCATCCGCTGGCTACAGCAGCTGCAGCCTGATGCGGTGGCCTACTGCCCTTTGCTTTGCCAGGCTGGGGGCTCCGCAGAATGTGTCCAGCGGTGCCTGGTTAGAACTGGGACGCAGCAGCGACAGCAACAGTGGCAGGCATGACAACAGCAACGGCAGCAATGACGACGACGACTTCGGCGGCAGCAGCAGCAACAACAACAGCAACATCAACAGCAAGAGCAAAAGCAACAGCAGCAACGACAGCAAATGGAATAATAAATGCAACTGCAACAGCAACTGCAAATGCAACAGCAGTTGAAGCTGCAACTGCAACAGCATCAGCAGCAGCAACAGCAACAAGCAATATTCTCCACAGCACACAAACAAGCAGTAAGAACCGCATCAACGCAAGCACACACACTTCAAAAATGCCGGAAACCGCAACACAGACAACTGCAAGCACATGACCAAGCACATGAGCATTACTTAAGAGCTAGTACTACCATACCATTGTACATGTTCGGGGCAGCCCTGGCTCACCAACACGACTTGGTTTATGTTTGTTGAGGTTTTGCTGTTCTTTGCAGCGCTTCATTTGTGGATGTAGTTCGTTGCAACTCCGCAGTCGTCTTTCTAACGAGGCGAGGTGCACGCCGACCACGTCACAAGGGTCCTCACTGCACACTTGACAGGATATCCCTTCCATGTCGCACGTGACAAATCCCCAAAGGAATTCATATCGATATCTACATTGGGACAAACAAGGGCGCTGGTCTTCAGTTCAACGACTCGTGACCTTATTGCATTGCAAATCGTGGAAAAGGCCAACGGCGCTTCTTCATAGAATGTTCACATCTCCGAGCAATGAGCTCTATTTGTGCTGTCCCTTTTCAGTGTCGTTTTGAGGATCTGTATTCCTCGATGCCGATGTGTTTGTGGGTTGTGCACACGCCACGTTATATTTTCATACGAATAGAAATATCCAATTTGGATGCAGCAAGGTCGTATGCTTGGGCAGGTCTAATGGTGTGTTTTCCTGCGCAAGGCTCCTGGCCGCTTCCAAGCCTTAGCGAAAGTGCGACCTGCAATCCTAAGATGCCAAAAGGCATCTCACTTAGAGACATTCCTCGAAATCCCTTCTGCATCCTTTTGCGGTCATGGTGAGAGGACGAACACAGATGGGGGCTTGTGCACACAGGACGCGGCCTACGCAGCAGAGTTCTTGAAGCTTCCAAAAGTGGCGATCCTCACCACTGCCGGGCCTGGCAGCATGGCCTTCACCATGCCGCTTGGCGACCTTCCTCTCCCATAGCGGCCTTGGCGCCCTTTTTCTGACTAGGAAGTCTATAGGATAGGCGGATAGACGATTCAACATCATCGGGGTCAGGTGTTTGTCTTACATTAGCGCGACTCAAGCAGAAATATCCAGGTCCAGGCTCCCTACGAAGTGTACAACACGGTACTTTGTTCTGGCTTTCTCGTGCAAATCATAGTAGGCGGTGTTTGATGGTGCTTCATTAGTGTGTCACAAAGATGGCAAAGTGGATGCGCGACATGGAAGCAGGCTTCTCTTAGGAGTGCAAATCCGTAACTGCAGTATCCTAGCACGAGGAGATGAATGTTTCCCACTCTTGCACGAAAGTTGAGATCTTCAAGCAAAGCTCAGATTGGGCGTTTGGGGGACTGAGGCAAGCCTTCCTTGACATGTCTGGGAGCACCGCTGAGGAGCCTTGGAGCGAAGCCGCACGCATGACTATGCCCGTCTACCTACATTTGCACATGTGCGCGCATGCAGAGGTACATTCATACATTCATGAATATCGGTTCATTTGGTCAGTCATTCATTCGTTCCTTCCCTTCATTCGTTCCTTCATGAATTGTTCAGTCAGTCAGTCGGTCAGTCAGTCAGGCAGTCAGTCAGTCAGTCATCCACAAATACATGCGTGTATGCATGCATCCATACATACATGCCTGCGCACGTACGTACATACATACATTCATTATACAAGTATTGATTATGTGATTCATTGTTTTATTTCTAGATTCATCCATCCATTCATTCGTGCGTTGTTTGTTTGTTTGTTTGTTTATTTGTTTGTTTGTTTGTTTGTTTGTTTGTTTGTTTGTGTGTTTGTTTGTTTGTTTGTTTGTTTGTTTGTTTGTTTGTTTGTTTTTTTTTATTTGTTTATTTGTTTGTT